TATCAAGCGTTATCATGTTAACTGCAGCACACTGAGTAAACATGGGCAATTTTGTTGTGAAAACGTGGTAAGTTGGTTGTTCAATTCGTTTTGCTATGAAAGGGCTTTGCGGTGGGGATAAAAGGCGTCTGCGTCATTCTTTTTCAATAAGACGCTAAAAGGTAAGACCAAAACATTCAAAACTTTCAGAAGAGATGGGTATATGATGTCTTATTGAATTAAGTTAAAGACTTTCGCAAAGTGTTGAACTAACTATGCAAAGCGCCAGCGCGAGCCTCTCAGAAGGAGAGGTGAAGCACTGGTAGTGGTATATTCTGCTACAAACTAAGTATCAATGCTAACGTCTCTTGTTCTGCCCGGTCCAATGCCAAGAATACATCAAAGGGCCGCCTTCTTCAACATCTTAACACGACCGACACAAAACAACTTTGAACCAAATTAATTTGCAATTCCTTATGCTCTGTGATAACACCGTTAAAAGCAATAAGTTCATTTTTTATGGCGATAGTCATACCGTGGCCAGAAAATCAGCTCACTTGTATCTGCCTGAATAATGCATCGTCCAGTAAACGCCTGACCATGCTGCAGATCCATCATCTCTCCTTTAACCTTGTTTTCAACCGTGTCCACTAGGCAAAGTTCAGTGCACACTCCCTAGAAAGCTGCCACATTTTCTTCAGATGCTTCCCTAACAAAGTGTGTCTACCTGTTGCAACATACTGTAGGCGCATGCCATTCCAACAGCACCCGCCCCCACAATGGTAACTTTTTGTGGGGTTTTTTCAGCTGGAAGAGCCATTTCCTGCATTATTTTTTTAACCGTCTTTAGGATTCTGGAAATATCCTTGTTTTATATCCGCCTAGGACGACTTCTTTAACGCTTACTTATCCGACATTTTGGTAGGTAAACGTTTCACTGATGTACTGCTGCTTTCGCCGAGAGTGAAAGAAATGACTAACCCATATTACTAAATGAATGATATAATGTTTTACTGAATATAAGCAGGTAAGGGGTTTTTGATGAAGATAACTTGTTCAACCCAGGCTTACGGTTTCCATTCAAACAGCGTTTTTTGTTTTTATTCTCTACTATAATCTACGGGAGCTATTT